GACAACATTGTACGCTACAACACGATGCAACCCCGATTTTAAATATTGTGTGCTAGCAAATGGTCCTTTCATCTCTTAGAAAATATTAATTTCTTGACATGTTGTTACGTTTAAGTCTGAATAGTGACCCGTTGAAATAGAGTACTTCGCATCTCTTTCGCGGAGGTAAAACAGAGGTTAACTTCAGTGGCCTATGAACAGATCGGGTTAACTTCAATTTGTACTTTTGAAAACCGGGAGATTTTTCCATTCTCCGCCGCCGGCATTCCCAAGGACTGTTTTTTAGGATCTGTTGTAGCTGGGAGATGCACGCCAGATATTGGCGTGAAAGATAAATGCTTGGACACGGCGACATTCGGCTTTCAGTTCGTCTTAATTTCTTCGAAAGCGGTTAATGTATTCCGTTTGGCAGAAGAAAAACTTTCAATAATAGCTATCCTTTATGTCTTTTGCACTCCTCAACTTCTCTCCAGAGGAAAAACCATCTACAGATTGATCGTATTGCCTTCTTGTTACGATATGCTATCCAAATGTCTGAAGCGGCGGTGGGTAGTTTCTTTATCGCGTGGATTAGCTATGGATCGTGTAGTTGGGCTTGCTTTCACAATTAACATTTATTTCAGGTTGAAAAGAAAAGCTTACAGAGGGAAACGAAATACATCAGAAAAGCACAGGAAGAAGCTGGTTCCGATTTCAATTCAAAACAATTATTTTTGTTATCTCGGGGTTTACCAGGACTTGAATTGCATACCAAGGTAAGACTGTTGATGATGTTTGCTGCCCTGACTTCAGGCCGGGATTATCATTTTGAGGTGTGTTAATACTGGTGAACGCAAAGAGTTAGGAAGAGGCTCCAAACTTAGTTAAATCGGATAATGTATTCAACTGAATAATCTTTTCAATTCTTTGGTACAGATAATTCGGAAAACTGAATTTGTAGCGTCTTCGGTTAACGTCTTCAGGTTAGCGTTTCAAGTCAACTCCTCTACTCATTGGTTTAATTAGGAATGCCCTTGGGGTGGAGAAGGGGGGGGGGGGAATAGTACTTCGTGGGTACAATGCAGGCAGTAGTCGCACGAGTGGTTTTTACGACCACTATGACTTGATGAGTGATTCGCGAAAATGATCGCCAACGGACTACTGTTGGTCATAAGAATGGATCATTTTGATCAAACGAGTCTGCGAGTCTATCTCGCGTATGAGTTCCGAGAAACTAAAGCATTGTTACGGTTATTTCCCATCTTCGCGAGTGTCCTTCGGGAAAAAATTTGCACTCGCGCTAGTTTCAAGAAAACCCTAACAAACTATACATCAAAAGAAGGCTTAAGAAATGCAGTTTTTGATAGAAATATAATTTAAACGATTTTTTCATTTAGGGAGTATCAGGAGCTGGTAAAACGTGAAACAACCAAGTGTCCTTCTATTTAATCTATCGGGTATCGGATCCCGCAGCACGAGCAAAATGGCTGTACAGTCTTATTCACAAAGCATCAATCAACAAAAGTGTGACAGGTTTTTCCGATAATTCTGATTATTTTTCTAGATGTTCGCATCTAAAGTTAGAGTAGCGCAAAATATGCGAAAAGTGTTGCGTAAATAGACACAACGTGAAAAATATTTCAAATATCAAAATTTCCTGACACACTTTCGTTCGTCATTGCCCCTGGAATGTTTTGGCGAAATTTCACGAAAATCGGCCGAATGTACATACACTATAATTTCTCTCAAAGTGGATGTATTCCTCTCAAAATTAAATGCGAGATTTTAGCTCCTAAAGGTTTTGTAGACAACCAGACGCATGGCTGCGTGAACTTGGGCTTCTTTTGTTTAAAGTTGTTGCGAAATATGATAGTGCCGTGGTTTAAAATTTTTCAATGAATAATTAAGTCATAGCATGGCAGCACCCAAATTATTTGAGTTGAAAACAATTTTACAGTTAGTGAACTAAGAAAAATAACAAGATAAGCAGTGCTATTTACATTTTTTAATTAATATATTTAATTACAGGAAGTTGACTTTTCTTAAATAGCAAGAGGGAATATACATATTTGGACCTTTTGTGGGTTTAAAAATACGTGTCATACAAAAAAATGAAAACCACATCAAAAACACTGTGCCTTCACCATTACATTTTACAAGATTTTCAAGAACTGATTTGCTGTCGACTGAATCAGTCAAAATTCCTTCACTGTAATCACTTTTAATATCTAAACTTACTTTACTTTTCCACAAACATCAACAGTTTTTGGCAAATCATCTGATGGTAAATACTTGTTCAAAGATGAATTTTCATATAATCTTTTGCCATACTGAATAACATCAGATAAGGTATTTGAATTCCAATAACTACATGATGTTATTACAGAGTAACAGAGTGAATTGACAGCCACAGCACAACTCACATTGAACTTTGTGGTTACACAGGCATCACTTTTAAAAAGGGTGCTATTTTGAACCCTTTTCAACTCAAATATATCATTGTTATGTAGACTCTGAAAATAATGTACTAAGGCATTCAGTGATGATACTTCAAGCCGCACACAGTACCTTGAGAGTGGTTTCTACTATAAATATCCCTTGCATGGGAATCGAAAATTTTGAAGCCCGCATT